GCACAACTGCGATTCATAAAAAAATATGCGTAGCAAATGGCTGAAAATACATCGCGAATTGCGATGCGATACCGGGAAAATTATTCCCTGCCTTGGTACAAGCCATTAATTTAAGAGCACGTAGTACCTACTAGTAGTAGTAGCGATAGAATAGGTCTGTCACATTAACTACGAGTAATAATTCATTCCAATCACTATACTCTATAGTCTTGGGCGGCCGTTAATAATACAGTTGAGTTATGATTCTGAACACAGAACAGGAAGAATGCAAAATTAATGATATCGATTTATTTCATGAACAAAGAAAAAATTTCATAACAATTCAGTGCATTTCCCAGACAAAATCATATGACTTTAGATAACGACAGTGGACGCATTTCAAGTTAAATAACATAATATGAATAGGTTCGATCAGCTGTTTTTGTAAATCTGCGTCATAAACGGATGTAACAAAAACAATGGAATCGTCTGTGAAACATACGAGCCATATTAATAGCCAACATAAAAGGTCCGAGAGGAGCTTAAATATCAGGAAACCTTACCGGCTAATTGCTTTCTTAAAAGAAGTGCCGACTGAGCTTCTGTCATTTGTAAGAACAACAGAACTGTGATAGAATTTGAAAGACTACGACAAATCGACGCAACAAATGGCGATAAGCATGCGCAATTGCGAAAGCGTAGGCCTACAGCTGACGGGAAAAGCTGGAAAGAGACAAAACCGTCAGGCATCGAGAACGAGTGATTTTATTTTATGTCATTCTGTCCAAAACCTGCATATATCACCAGGAAAAGCGATGTGGAACATTATATTATATTACATTGCCGTATTATACGTGTGTAACTAGTCCTAATACTGACTAAAGAACTTATATAATAATTAATATAAATCAAATATTTATACATCTCGGGTTCCGTGAAACGATTACAGCACCACCTTGTGGTAATAACACAGTCTGAGGCAAAGAGTGCACTCTACGATCTTTGGTCTGAGGTAATAATGTAAATTGCCTACTCGATTTGATCGTTTACTCTAGGTTCTAGGGTTATTTTCAGTTAATTTAGGTTAAAATTACGCTACATAAAAAGTTTCATGGTTCAATCACCATTAGAAATATTATTAAACAAGTGCCGCAAAGCGACAGGGCTCATCTGGTGTCTGGTGTTCTGATAAATTCATTTGTGCATAGCAAGACGTCCTATAGTATAGTCTATACACATGCCTACGTTCATTTCTAACCCCCAAAAACAACACTTCAAACTAGTGTAATAAAATTCCGATAGATGGCGGGCCGCTATCAAAGGCATCGTTGCATCCATAGAAATAGATAGATAACTAGTTAGATAATAGATAGATTAGCTAGTTATCTATCTATTTCTGGTTGCATCGGTCAGCCAAAGCATGGCAGCTGTCAGTGTGACGACAGATTGTAAAAAGCAGGCGCGAATAATTACCATATTATTACTATAGATAACGTGCGTTCTATGGTGTCAGGTAATAAGGTACATTAAACCCCTTGCGAGGCACATCTGGCTCGTTAGAAAATAGCTCAATGGTAATATGGTTGATACAACCAGAGCAGCTCGTGCAAGATTACAATTTACAGCAATACTGTAGTGCCTCTAGGGTAGACGACTACGGTTCGACAGACGTTAGTTCACAACGCGTGTCCAGTAGTAGGATCCAGAGTTCGCTCCTGCCGGTGTATTAAGGCGGGACGGCGATGACACGTAGCCGATAACAGGTGAACAGATGAACAGAACACGGGTGATGCAGTTAACGATACGGTGATATAGCTTTTATTTCGTGTTACGAAGGTACAAATGATTCCCCCTGCATTCGTATATGCAGCGGACCTTTTTATCAATCCCGTCTAATATCTGCACGTCGCCAGCTCCGTCTTCTTCCCTCACGTTCGTCCTCGCCTTGCGTGGATCCCAAGCAGTCTCCCAGGTATCTCCCTCGCCGTCGCTCCTAGATCTACCAGAACGCCGTACTCTGCCCGTTTTTATTTCCCTCTCCCGTTCGGCTCTGGTTTACACCTACCTGAAATAGCTGTGCGTCTATCCTCTCTCTCTCTATTTCCTCTTCTCGCCTTCCCACCTACAACCTATAATGAAAACCCTTCTCTCTAGCTTTCTCCTCCCGTTCGTCCTTCGTCTCTCTCCCTCCCTTCCTTCGTCTTCGTCCTCGGCTTCTTCTTCTTCCTCCTGGCCCTGTACCTAAAACACACTGCCTCCTGTAAGCAGACTTATGTAGAACAAATCTTCTATACCCAACGTATTTGTTACCAGATAACCTAATAATGTTATAATTAATACACATCAAACGCTTGGACGACTTGAGTTTAGAAAAGGTTCCGCGACCATGAAACCATGAAAAGAAGGATAGTAGCAGTAGAGGACTATAAAGAGGATTAGAGGACAAATATAATATGATAGACTAGAGAGAAGATAAATACATGAGTGCACATTCACTAATACAATGGCGCGGATGGTTCTACTCAAGGCTCTCCCTACGTAGAAGCGGAAAGAAGCACCTCATCGATGGAACAACAATCAAGAATGTGCCTGGAATTTTGAGCAAGGGTATCCCCTGTATAATTTGAGTACACGATGCAAATTTGAAGCCCATGGCCAGAATGACAAAAAGAAGATAAATGAGTCAACAAAGTCAACAGGAAGGCCAATGATGAGAGCTGACCAGGAAAGATGTACGTATGTAGAGAGGGGAGGAGTGCATGCCCTTATGGAAGGAATTGTCGCTTTGAACATAGCGGAGAAGAACACCCGATGGAGAGAACAGAATGCAGGCTAGAGGTAACAGTTATGGAGGGGGATAGGAGGGGAAGAGAACATAGGAAATCCAGTGCCGGCGGCAATTGTAGGCCGTGTTTGCACCGCTTTCCAGAAACCGGTCGTGTAAGGCATGGGCTGGGCGTGTAACAACAAGCGGATTTATTTAAGGTTTTCGAAGCAAGCACTCGTCCATAGGTGGCGCTCGTATATCAATACTGTACATATCGCCACATCTCCCTTCAAGTATGATACTATACTTTAAACTCAATTTCCAACTCTCTCTGTGCTAATTCCTACAGGACTCTTCAACTAACAAGTCGCCGCAGAGCGACAAGCGCCTCATCTACGCTCTACTGCGGTAACTGTGGTGGGTGGTGGGATTCTAGTAAACCCTGTTAGTCCCAAATGTGTTCAAATACACGCCCGAAACAGTGGAATGCACAGGGATGCGTTATCAGTAAACCTTCTCAGAAAAGAATGTTCGTTGGACCGTTAGTGAAAGTTGCCCACAGATGGCAGCGTTACGTTTTAAGTGTCTTCAGATTAAAGATGGCGAGGCTCCCATCATCGAGTAGCAACAACTTATTTGCAAGACAGAATAGGTAAGCGCACTCATCCATTTTACCTACGCCAAGCCCTACAGGCTGCAAATTGCAAGTAGCCAGAGCTGCCACATGTAACCAATTTAACGCAGAAAAAACGCCAGCCAACACATGCCACTGGCCAGCAGGCCACGGCAGTGGCATACGTTACATGTTAAGCATACTGACAGTACGAATTGGACATAGAAATTATACGACTTTTAAGACATACACCTTCTTTAACCCAAATTTAGCGCTTTGAAATTTTCACTGTGACATGTGAGCCCTCCTACATCCAGGCATGTATAGATTCTACTAGCAAACCGGCAGTCAAATTCTTTCTAACAGGACAGTCAGACAAATCCAAGTTTAACCCTCCTCTTGAGGGTCAAAAGGTTATCCGACACTCTACTCTTCCAGTCAGCAGAAGCGCGACATTTCATGGTCCTTTCAATAAAGCCATAAAAATGGCTAGGTCACCGCTGAAACAAAAAAGTTTTTTCAATCTCTCCGTCAGGCCACTCTGTCCTCAGAAAATGTCTAAAATCTGCCCTGTGCCCACTGACCTCTTGACCTGTGCACCTCCCAATTCCGCGCACGAGTTGATGGCTTTTCCTACCATGATGCTATACACCGACTAGCACGAGCCTAGGCGAGCCAGTTTAGCATTTGTGCCGCAAGTCTGCATTTCCTCCCTTACCTTAAGTTAAGGATGTGAATGTCCCCCTCTTGGTACAGCCTTCTTGACCGTTTTGACCTTTGACCCCCAGGCTTTCGACATCCAACTCGTTTTCGGATGACTCCCCCCACGTCCCGAATATCGTGACCGTAGGTCGAGCGGTTAAGATTTGTGCCCAACTGTTGACGCGACGGCTACGAGCACGACGATTCATGCGACTTCTAACAAGCTGCCATCGTGACTATGTCAGATGAGCTAATAAAAATTAAGGAATATTTTACCTGTACTAACGATATGTCTCTATGTTCAAATCCGTCCATCAAAAGTAATGGTATTTTCCATTTCTATGTTTCACACAATTGATCAAATATATAAAGAACTACATGCGGTGTGTGCTTTACACTTTCTGAAATAAACTCAAACTACGAATCACGATATACAATCTTGTATGATGACTAGGTTCAGTTCAACGTTCAAAGTTTAAACAAGTATAATCCAAATCTATTCTACTCTTAATTTCCAACTAGCATCCTCCTGCATAGCTGTTGTAATGGTCTTATTTGTTTGTTGAATGATGATATCAAACCATAAGTTGCAACTCCGAAGATATATCAACACCTCGTTTCTGTCCAGATCCATATCCCGCTGCCCCGCTTTGTTTCTTAATTACCGATTGTCGCTCGCGCATGCGTCACATTGCACACTAGGAGTCAGCATCGATACCAAACGTAAACACTAGCGCTGGACATCACAGCTTCACATACTGATCGATCTTAAGCAATATGCCCATACTACACAAAGTCCTTAAATCTTAACTCGGATGGGTTGATTACTCTTCCGCAGAACGAGTAAGACACAACTGGCCGCTAGCCTTCCGATCTAATGAGTCACAGCACTGCTTACTGGACCAAGCACATTAGGTTGCGCCGACTCTCCCTCGGATCGACATTACTATTAGCATCGGGTCTCTACCTTCACTGTCTCTCTCGACCACTGGGAACATCCAGTAACCTCCGGCCACGACCACCGCCTGATTCACCTGTTTTCACACAGATGCTTCGGTGCTCCTTGTATTGCCCGACCATGGTCGCCGACTAGAAATGCATCTAGGCTCTGCTGACTTTCTCCCTCATCAACAGCTGGGTCTCCAAGAGTTTTCCATCGTGCATTCCAACTGTCTCTCGCAACAGCAAATTGAGGCAAGTGCTCTGGCCACCATGATCATAATAATGCTGTTGTTTCGACTGAGTTTTTCCCAAGCTGCCGCTCAGTTACTGCGTTCATCGTTGAAGTTTAGGTGATTCAACAACTTTCCAGTTGCAGCCAGACGGGACCTTGTCTTCGACCCATCAACATCTGATCTGGGTGAGCCCATTTCCTTTGGAGAGGGGGTGTTTCTCCGCCTCAATATTGCCAAAGTATGGTCACGTCCAGCTCGGCCTGCTTTCTTCAACAACCGCTTCAAGGTCTGCACAGCCCGTTTCACCATACGTGCTTGCGCGTACTCGGAGGCAGGTAAATGATGCTCAAACTCGTGTTTGCGTGCAAACTCTGCGAACACATCACTGGAGTATTGGGACCATGATCGAAATGACTTCTTCGGAGCCATAACGGCAAAGCGCTTCTTTAAGCACTCAAT